TTTCCAGAGAATCATATTGGTAGTTGTATATAAATTTTTTTTCTAATTGTAATCTGATATTTTGTAATTATTAAACTACTTTTTGACTTTGATTTCTTTTGGACCTTCATCATTTTATGCAATTTTTTCACTTTTCTGATTCTCTTCTTTTTCCAATATTTATGGTTAAGTATTTTGCTCGCTAGTCGATTGAATTGTCAGATCACTTTAGGGAATTTAATTAGATTATTCTTCTTTTTATTATTCTGTCGATTATTCATCTTATTGTTTTTATTTTGTTGATTATTCTTCTTATTGTTATTATTTTGTTGATTATTCATCTTATTGTTATTATTTTGTTGATTATTCTTCTTCTTTTTATTATTCTTTTGATTCAGCAACTATGTAAATATCTTTTTATTCATCTTTTTGTTCATTCTTTTCTGTTTAGCTTTATTATTTTTACTATTATTCAGGATTTTAACCTTAAACACTATCTTCACTGCTGCTCTCAGAAGATATCTCAGATTCACATTAATTAATTCCAATTTTAATTATTTCTTCTATAATTTTTTGATATTGATATTATTTTGATTCTAATAGTAATAAATTTTGACTTAATAGAATTAGATGCTAATATATAAATGTTTGAAGTTCTTTATTTTAAGCTTTTTCAAAGTAATTCGATAAGATTTGATAAATTTATAATAATAAAGTATCAAGATTATTGGAATCAAAGTTAAAGTCAACATTAATCTAATTATCATCACAATTGTAAATATATATTAAGTGTTCAAGCAGTAATTTTTACTCATCAAAAATTATAAAATTTATATCTTTATTAAATTCATTATTCTCTTCTTATTATTGCTAATTTTATTATTCTTATTACTGCTCATTTTTGTATTCTTATTACTTCTCAATTTATTTTACTTATTATGGCTCATTTTATTATTACTTTGCTGCTTCTTAAATACATTTTTCTATATATAGTTCGTTTCTTTCTCCATTTTAATTTAATTATACATTTTAAATCTCAGAACTTGTTAATTATTAACTTTAATTTTGATTCACATCCTATTTGCATTAAAAATATTTTTTTTCTTATAATAATTATTATTCTTATTATTCTTCTTCTTTTTTATAATGTTTATAATTTATTGCCAAATATTTTAGATTTACTTCGTCAAAATAATCTTGATTAAAGTACATTATATCAATGCTGTAAGTATAAGAATCAAAATCAAGACTACTTAACTAATCTCATGTTTTAAAATTTCTGGATGATACAATTTAATTTAATCTCTCTTCTTATGAAAGTTAACCCAATGCTCTAATGAGTTTATGGAAATTTAATTTTTGCAAAATGTGTAAAAAGTAATTAAACTAAATAAGAATTTATAGTTTTTATCAATAATCTCAATCATGCATTTAAGGAATTTATATTTTTAATGAATCAAAGATTTGTATAGCTTGAATTAAATTAAAAACGATGGACTTCTTTGGGATAACGTTATTTTTCATTAAATAGCATGCATAGTTAACAATGTAAAACTAAATCTTTTATTAGAGTGTGTTAATTTATATGTAATTATTATTTATAACCTTTATTTTAGATCATGTTATTGAATAACATCTTTAAGATCGGTGTTTTATCAATATTGTCTTTGATTGTGTTTTAAATTTTTTATTCAATTTCAAAGTTTTCCAAAAAAGATAATCCCTGAGATTCATCACACTTAAATTAAAATGTTATACTTGATCCAAATACATTAAGGAACTTGGTTTTAGAATTGTATAGCCCAAAAATTGAACAAATAGATGAATATACATCTTAATTATATTAATTATCTTCATAATCACTTTTAAATAGACTAACTACCTTTATTAAAAATTTTCCTAAAAATATAAGCTATTAAAAATTAAAATTTTTGAGAAATTTATCCTAAAATTGTCTCTATTATTTGTAAAAAAAATGCAAAATAATCATAAATTATTCCTTCTAATTTTTTAAATTAAATAAATCTTATACATCTTCCTCATGCAACTCTTTATTATTATGAATTTTATCTTAAAAATAAAAAAATAAATTAAATTGATTTAGAAATTGAATTTCAAAATATTTACTCATGTATTTTTTGAATGATTAATTTTCATTTTTATTATTTTTATAGTACATTTCCGAATAATAGTTTATAATATAGTAACTCCTAATCAGGAATAATTCTTCCTCTTTAATATCTAAAATTTAATGCCATTTTAACATTAAATCATTAAGTTCTTGATATAATTGTTTTTATTATTGATTTTAGTGTTTCATAGTTTTCCTTAAAGTTTCAATATCATCTAAAAATAACAGCTATATAATTGACAACTAATTGCATAATAATGATTAGCAGATATTGTACTCTTCTTTATCATCAATTTTAAATTCCTAAATTTGTTGTTGTTGATGAAAAAATTTATAAAGTAATCTATTTTCTGGATATAAAGTAATTAATACATTATGTTAATTCAATTATTCGAAGACTTCAATCAAAAATGATTTCAATTATCTATCTTAATATATTTATTAATTTGATTAAAAGATTGCTGAAATTTATTATTTTGAGTGTGGATTTATTATCATTTATGAATCAATTATCTCATAATAAATTTCCCAAAACATTTTAAATTATTCATAAATCATTTCTTCTAAATCATCATCTATGTAAATTTATGAATTAAGTATCTTATTTATTTCATTCTCAAAAATGTCTTTTATAGGAACCTTATCCAAAATGTTTTATGATATCTATGTTTCTGTAAATTTATCCACATCAAACTAAGTATTATCTTTGTTTTTATATTTCTAAACTAATAAATAGAAAACATTGTTATTTAAATCCTAAAATTAATTTAAGAGAAGGTATTTAACTTCAGCTTTTTATAAAATATTTTCGTTTAAGCATTCCTTAAGGAAATCATATTTGAAAAATCCATATTGGAAACCCTTTATTTAGTTAATTTCTGAAAGTAATTTTAGTGCATCTAAATAATAGCCGAGATGATAATAAATTAAAATTGCAAGCTAAAATTATTTTAATTTGACTGCACTTTTTGCAGCTTATGGTAATAATTGTGAATTTAAAAACTAAATAACACTATCTTCATACATCATACCTGAGTAATAACAATTAGCTGCTTATTAAACATCTTCTATTTGTAAAAATTATTTGGCTGCTTTTCGAAAATCTTTTTGTAATTCTTATTCTAATTCATCCATTTTTTTTTTAAGTTCTAAGGTTCCATTTAATTTAAATTAGATTTTTTATGATTTATAATTGGCTAATTTTTAAGCCCCTTTAGTTGCATTTAGGAACGCTTTCGATAATACAGTCATTCTTTCATTTTTACATCTCTTAAAACATTTCTTAGCTTCGTCATAAAGTTTTTTTTAAAACATCAACTGCCCTTATTATTCCCAAATTTATATTTCTTCATCATCCCATATTTTTGGTTATCTTTGTCTTTATTCTTATTAAATTTCTTATTAGTTATCTTGAGGTACATTAATAACCTACCTGGCTTTTTATGGTATTTATATAATTTAATTTTATTTGCCTGTAAAATCACAAACATTGTATTGCTTTAGAATTCTTTCTAAAGGATATCTCTATTATGGATTATCGTCATAAATAATAACTCTCTTTTTAGCTCTTGTAACACAAACGTATAGCATCTTCAATTCATTACAGAGGGATGAATAATCATTCATTTTCTTTTTATCGTATCTTTAATTTAGCTTTAGTTTTTTTTACACAACCTACTGTCCATCTTCTGTTAATTCTACATCGTATTTATTATTTTGCTCATCGAATTCTATTATATATAAATAAGAATACTTGTGATTGATTGTTCAAACACTTACTTGTCTACATATGATTCTTCTACATCTATGCAAGATAAAAAGGCCCATTGCTATTCTGGAATAGGATCAGAACTAAAACAGTTATATAGAATAACATCATCAAATTCTAATCCTTTCGTTTAGTAAGTGGTTAATACTCTAGCTGTTTTAAATTATTATGGTAGAGTTTGTTTGGCTTCTTCATTTTTTACTATTATAACTTAATTATAACCAAACTCAATTTCACATTGTTCTTCAGCATCGCATTGTTAATTCAAATGATATAAAATTAAAGAGGGATCAACTTATGAAATAATTAGAGGCTTTGGACCTTTGAGATTTGAGATTTCCTTTTATAAGTGATCCAAGCTATTAGGAAATAAAAGTTCAAGTATTATAATTATACAATTCGCCAATTAAAGTATATTATTATGAGATCTGAAATTTTTTGTTAATTAGAAAACTTAAAACTTTTCTAATTGGTTAGCCCCTATCTTCTTTGAAGTTTTAAAAATAGTTTATAAATCGGAAAATCTAAATCCCACTCCCTTTAGAATACTTTAAGCTGAATCACCACAAAATATTATCCCTTATTCTGTTATTTTACAAAATAGTTCAATCATAGCTTATGGTAAATCTTATACTTCATCTATGTAAGAATGGTGAATAGGAAATCTAATTAGTTAATTTTATTCAATATTAACTAATAATGAATTTATTAAGTCTAATTGATCGATATATTATTCCTTTTCTTTCCAAATCTCATATTTTAAAAAGCAATCATAAATTTCTACCATCTAAGCTTCACTCAAATAGTTTCCAACTCTTTCTTTATACAATTAAAAAGGAAGGCACCTATTAGGATATGCATATGAATATTAAGAGCCTTTAATATATGAGTATATCTATGTCCATATTAGTGATGGGAGTGCAGTGTTATCAAAATTATTTCTTCCTCTTCCACAGACTTAAGGCCAAAAATATAAATAAAACAACATAAAATCAACTTCGGGCACAATTATATCTTATTTCAATTGAATATCACTTGAAGATGAATATTAATACTAAGATTAAATATTATTAGCTTAAGGGAACCACTCATCTAGATTTATTCCATTAAAGTCTTAGAATCCAATTTTCTTACTATGCTTTTATCTGAATTTATTGATTTTTTCAATAGAGAAAAATGGATTATTAGATTTCTTATCTAAAAGAATTAAAAGCTATTCTGATGATAAAAAACTAGGGAACTTGATTGTTTATGATTATTTTTCATTTTAATGTGATTAGACATTTTATCTTATCTAGGGATTTTAAATTTATTCCTCTTGTAAAACAAAATCTAAGAGATCAGTCTCATAGTTTGAGATGACACTTTCATTAATTGAGACACTAATTTATTAAGAATATTAAATTACAATGATTCATCTAAATTAAATGTGTTTTAATCTCTATGTTTATTTATAGCCTCTTAAGCTTATCTTTCTAATTTATGGTAATATTTTTCTACTTCCTAAACTAGAAACCTATTTGCTGTTGAAAACAATGAATGAATTTCCACTTCCTTTCTTTAATAATCTTATAAAAATTATATTCTTTTTTAACCAAGAAATTTGCTTCTTACTTTCACCAACATTTCTGTAGCAAATATTCTTAAAACAGTGCTTGTAGTTTTTCCTGTTCCACTTCTACCAATAACTAAAGCATTATTCTTTGTAATCACAATTTATTTCTCTTAATCTGATAATTTAATTTTAAATGCTTAAGATTTTTAAAGTAAATCTAATATTTGGCCAACAGATTCAAAATCCACAAATTAGATTAACTTATATTTATTTTAATTTCCAATATCTTCATAATGAAATTGATTTGATAACTTTTCATAAAAAGATTTCTTTATGAGTTGCCCTTTTTTAAATAAAAGATCATCCTTCTTCTCTTTAAGCTAATTAAATTTCAAAGGAATCCATTAAATTAAATTTTAACTTTATTATAAATATGATGATTCAGCCCAACTTTTGTTTTAGACTTAAAATAAGTAGCTCTACTACTTGGCATTGATTCCTGTCAATGGAACACTTATGCATTCTGCATAGTCTAATTCAGTTCTATAGAAATCTTTTGAAATATTTATTTAATATTCTTATATTGCATCTGTAATTTCTTAACCTTTTTGATAAAAGAATATGTCAATAAAAGTTATTTTTTGGACAATATCAAATAAGCAAATCTACTAATTTATATTATAGATTTACTTATTGTTTGGTATCGTTGTACTTTTTATGTAATCCAACTTCAAATAGGATATTGAAATTATCGTTGGATTGAAGTAAGAAAAAACTTTGATATTTCATAACGTATGGAACTTTTACATAGATCAAGTTGATCTTCTTACTGTTGAAATTAAAGTATCCATCCAATATCAACAACATAGACGACACCATGGATAATATTTTATCATTTTTATTTATGATCTTATTAAGAATTTATACTATTTTAAAGGATACAATTACTTTTAACTTGATAACTCCAAACAGATTCTTTGATGGCATCAAAAATTGTGGAATTATATTATTGATCATCACTAAAACTCAAAGCATCCAAGAATATTTGAGTAAGGATCTTTTCGTTGGTCATATCTTTTATTCTTGAGTCTTTTTTTTGTTGATTTAGGTAATTTTAGATTTTCGCTTTGTAGTTTTTTGTTTAAGTTTCTTAACTTTTTTGGTTTTACTTCATGTTGTACAAAATTTCTGTATAAATTAATTTAAAAATTTTAAGTATGTCATTTTAAAATGATATAATTTAATTTATTTTAATATGCAATTTATTATTATTTGCTTAGTTATAAATAGACTTATAATTGAAGAAATAGTAAATCATACAGATTCTAAAATGGATGGTGCAGAATACTAAATTACAATTAAAATTCAAATATTTCAATATAAAAACATTATAATCAAACTATATTAATTTCAATATTTTTGTTATTTTCTTTATGTATTCAAAATTGTATTTCGATTTGAGATACCAGAGAATGGTTTCAGGTAGCAAATTTGAAGCATCCTTTTATTTAAATTTCTTGCA